ATCTAGGTCAACTGGCATAACAAAGTTTATTAAAATGTTCTGCATCCTACTTTGGTGAGTGGCGTCTGGGGTCTTAAAAGCTAGCAAGTGGCCATCTAAGATGCATCAATTGGTCCCAACCCACCTGAAGTAAAGGAGAATGAAGAACACCAAAGTCACAAGGAAAGCATTAGCCCAAGAGACAGAAAGGGCCACATAAACCGGAGACTGCAAAGCCTGAGGCCGGAAGAACTAGATAGTGCCTGGCTACCACCAGTGACCGCTCTGACAGGAACACGGAACGGAGAGTCCTTGTTGGAGCAGGAGAAAAGTAGGGTGCAGAACTCAAATTCTAGTAAAAAGACCAGACTTAATGGTCTGACTGAGACTGGAGGAACCCCAGAAAGCACAGCCCCCGGGCTCTCTGTCAACCCAGCACTAAAACCATTCCCGAGGCCAACTCTTCACTCAAAGAATACTCGTATCAAGAGTGTGCTTCTTAGCTCAAGTAGATACATGAAACTAAATGGGCAGCTCCTGTCCGGAGGTGAGATGAGAAGGCAGAGAGGGTCAGGAGCTGGTTGAGTGGACACGGGAAATCAGGGGTGGAAAGGAGGAATGTGCTGTCACAGTACAGGGAGAGCAATTAGGGTCTCATAACAATGTATGTATAAATTTTTGTATGATAGACTAACTTGAATTATAAACTTTCACTTAAGGTACAATAATAACATAAAACAAAAAAAGAAATATAAAAAGACTTCTATTTTAAAACACTTTCAAGGATGTAAGCCCCTAGATCATTAAGTTACATTGTAAGTAATAATATTTTTCTTCACACATCCTATTTTAAAATCTACTGGTTTCAAAAATATATTAGAGTCAAAAAACTTTTTGGTCAAAGTTATCCCTAGAGCTACTTAATTACCCTGGTCTGAAGTTCACTTTCACTCCTAGTATTAAAACAAAAAAATAAAAACAAACACAAACAATCTTTAATACAGAGATAATTCCTAAGAAATTTCAGAGGGTGGAAACTGCCTGGTAAGACAATAGTGATTTTTAAAGAAAGTATTGACAAGAAAACTAAACCCTTCCAGCTCTGTGCCAAAGACACACAAAGAAGTTTACTCTTACCTTAACCACATTTAAAATGTTGGTTTCAGGAAGAGCTGAAAAAATTGGCTTGTAAGATGACTCTTCAGTTCCTTTCCCGCTTGATGCCATCTGTGTTTCAGAACTACTGAAAAGTGAGTAAAGTAAGGTGAAATTGGGCATAATTACCCATTTTAAGAAATACCAGCTACTTTCCAAAAAATAAATTTTACTAAGGTATGATTTACATAAAATATATATCCCTTTTAAGTTTTGATAAATGTATAAACTAGTGTAACCACCATCCAAATCAAGAAATAGAACGTTTTCATCAACCTCAAAAGTTCCTTCATGCCAGATCCAGATTAGTCCCCTATCCTAGGTAAACACTGGTATGATTTCTGTTCTTACACATTAGTTTTCCCTTGAACAGCTACTTTTTATAAAGCACTATTTTGTTACACTTGGTGTCAGAGAGCTATGTAGATGGTAGCTCTGACTAAAAGAACTCATACTTTCTATTTCTAGTTAAAGGCCTTGTGTACAGCCTAAAGAAACTGCCACACTGACATAAAGAACCAAGTCTAAGCACCCCAATTCTGGCTCAGTTAATAAGTGAATGTTCACGGAAGAGGAGACACATGAACTAGACCTTCAAAAGACAAATATTTTCTTAAATTCTTTAAAAATAAGTAACATATAATACACTCATATGGTTAAAAAATATCAGAAGGTATCAAGGCAGTATACTGTGAAGAATTTCTCTCCCAGTCTGGCTCTTTAGCTACTCATTTCCCCTCCCCACAGATAATCACCTGTAGTTTTAGCCCTTTCTTCCACAGGCATTTTATGCATACACAAACGTGAATATATATTCTCTCCACCTTTTTTACACAAATAGTATTATACTATCTCTTCTGTACCATTTTTTTTTTCACTTAATATCTTAGAGATACTTCTGTATGTGGAGAACTTTCTTATTTTTTACATAACTGCTTAGCAGGCCTCCATGCCTCTTCCTAGCTGTATAATGTGGGCAAGTTACTTAACCTTTCTGTGCCTGTCTCACTTGTAAAATGGGAATGAAAATACTATCTAACAGTTGTAGTGACTATTAAGTGATGGACTGCATGTTAAGTCCTTAGAACAGTGCCTGGCATACGTTGTTGTTAGGTGCAGCTGAGTCAGTTCTGACTCCTAATGACCGTATGTCCAATAAGCAACATCATGATACATGGAGAAAATACTGATGTTGTCAACGATTTCATTTTGCTTGAATCCACAATCAATAATACTGCCCAGTCCTGTGCCACCCTCACAATCATTGCTATGTTGGAGCCCACTGTTGCAGACACTGTATCATCCATCTCACTGAAGGTCTTCCTCTTTTTCGCTGACCTACTTTACCAAGCATGATGTCCTTCTCCAGGGATTGGTCTCTCCTGATACCATGTCCAAAGTAAGTGAGACGAAATCTCGCCATCCTTGCCTCTAAGAAGCATTCTGGCTGTACTTCTTCCAAGACAGATTTGTTTGTTTTTCTGGCAGTCCATGGTATATTCAATATTCTTCGCCAACACCATAATTCAAAAGCATCAACTCTTTGGTCTTCCTTACCCACTGTCCAGCTTTTTGCATGCATATGAGGCGACTGAAAACACCCTGGTGTGGCTCAGGTGCACCTTAGTCCCTGAAGTGGTATCTTTGCCTTTTAACACTTAAAGAGGTCTTTTACAGATTTGCCCAGTGCAATACATCATCTGATTTCTGGACTGCTGCTTCCATGGGCATTGATTGTGGATTCAAGCAAAATGAAATTGTTGACAACATCAATATTTTCTCCATGTATCATGATGTTGCTTATTGATCCTGTTGTGAGGATTTTTTTTTTATGTTGAGGTGTAATCCATAATGGAGGCCATAGTCTTTGATCTTTATCAGTAAGTGCTACAAGTCCTCTTCACTTTCAGCAAGCAAGATTGTGTCATCTGCATTATCACAGGTTATTAATGAGTCTTCCTCCAATTCTGATGCCCCGTTCTTCTTCATATAGTCTAGTTTCTCGGACTATTTGCTCAGCATACAGATTGAATAAATATGGTGAAAGGATACAACCCTGAGGCACACCTTTCCTGATTTTAAATCACACAGTATCCCCTTGTTCTGTTCGAAGACTGCCTCTTAGTCTATGTACAGGTTCTGCATGAGCACTGGAATTTCCATCATAATGATTATTATTAATGTACCACGATTTATTTAACCAGTCCTCTACAGATGAGTTGTCTTTTGTCATTATAAATATGTTTAATTAGGTGAGATAGGTAACATTTTGGTGGGTAGACACTGAGGGTGGAGGTAAGCAATCAGCACGAGGAGGAGCCAACGTAAGATGGCTGATGTGGAGGAACAAAGGCAGATAAATTTGGTTAGAACAAAAGGGAGAGAGTACAGGTCAGTCAAACTTTAGAGTCTTAAATACAATGTGTAATGCTTTGAGGATAGGCAACAGAGAAGTTCAAGACTGTACTTTCATAAAAGAAATCCTCTAACAGTGAAAAGATAAAACATCTTGGAGGTGAAAAGACCCTGGGGGAAAGGAGATTTTTGCCCGGTGAGGCATGAAAAGAGTGCAGTGGGAACGAAAAGCTAAAAATAGCTGTGAGGTAGCGGAAGAGGAATATAAGGATGTGTGAACTAATGGGATGTAGAATCCAAAGACGTTAGGATGTATCTGTTGCCAATGAGTCAATTCTGACTCATAGCGACCCTTCAGGACAGATTAGAACTGCCGCAGTTTCCAAGGCTATAAATCTTCATGGAAGCAGACTGGCACATCTTTCTCCCATGGGGTTAGGATATAGTAAGACTCAAACTTTGAAGTTTGTGTGACTAGTAGAATAGTGGTCAAGAAAACTCTACTACTAGTACCCCTCAATATCAAAACTCTCCCTATTTGAATATTTACTCTAACAACCTGCAAACATCTTTATGCTAAATCTACCTGGATAGAATATACATACACAGGCACGCTTCGTTTTATTGCACCTTGCTTTACTGTGCTTCGCAAATACTGTGTTTTTTACAAATTGAAGGTTTGTGGTAAACCTGCATTGAACAAGTCTATCAGCACCATTCTTTCCAACAGCATGTGCTCACTTTGTGCCTCTGTGTAACATTTATTTAATTCTTGCAACATTTCAAACTTTTTCATTATTATTTTATGTTATGGTGATCTGTGATCAGTCATCTTTGATGTAACTATTGTAATTGTTTTGGAGCACCATGAACTGTGCCCACATAAGATGGCAAACTTAATCGATATATGTTGTGTGTGTTCTGACTGCTCCACTGTCTGGCCGTTTCCCCATCTCTCCCTCTCCTCAGGCTTCCCTATTCCCTGAGACATGACAATATTAGCATTAGGCTAATTAATAACCCTACAATGGCCTCTAAGTGTTTAAGTGAATGGAAGAGTCACACGTTTCTCACCTTAAAAGCTTGAAATTATTAAGCTTAGTGAGGAAGGCATGTTTAAAGCCAAGACAGGCCGAAAGCTAGGCCTCTTATGCCAAACAGTTAGCCAAGTTGTGAACTGACAGGAAAAGTTCTTGAAAGAAATTAAAAGTGCTACTCCAGTGAACATACGAATGCTAAGGGAAACACCCTTACTGCTGATATGGAGAGTTTTAGTTGTCTGGACAGAAGATCAAACCAGCCTAATCCAGAGCAAGGCCCTAACTCTCTTCAATTCTGTGAAGGCTGAGAGAGGTGAGGAAGCTGCAGAAGAAAAGTGTGAAGCTAGCAGAGGTTGGTTCATGAGATTTAAGGAAAGAAGCTGTCTCCGTAACATAAAAGTGCAAGGTGAAGCAGTAAGTGCTGATATAGAAGCTGCAAGTTATCCAGAAGATCTAGCTAAGGTAATTGATGAAGGTGGCTACACTAAAACAACAGATTTTCAGTGTAGACGACAATGGCCTTACACGGGAAGAAAATGTCACGTAGGACATTCACAGCTACAGAGAAGTCAATGCCTGGCTTCAAAGCTTCAAAGGACAAGCTGACTCTCTTGTTAGAGGCTAATGCAGCTGGTGACTTTAAGTTGAAGCCAATGCTCATTTACCATTCCCAAAACCCTAGAAACCTTAAGAATTGTGCTAAATCTACTCTGCCTTTGCTCTATAAATAGAACAAGAAGCCTGGATAACAGCACATCTGTTTACAACATGGTTTACTGAATATTTCAAGCCTACTGTTGAGACCTACTGCTCAGAAAAAAGGCTCCTTTCAAAATATTACTGCTCACTGGCAATGCACCTGGTCACCCAAGAGCTATGGAAACGTACAGAGATTAATGCTGTTTTCACGTTGCTAACACAACATCCACTCTGCAGCCCGTGGATCGAGGAGTAATTTTGACTTTCAAGTCTTATTATCTAAGAAATACATTTTATAAGGCTATAGCTGCCACAGATAGTGACTCCTCTGATGGATCTGGGCAAAGCAAATTGAAAACCTTGTGGAAAAGGATTCACCATTCTAGGTGCCATTAAGAACATTTATGATTAATGGGAGGAGGTCAAAATACCAACATTAACAGGAGTTTGGAAGAAGTTGGTTCCAACCCTCGTGGATGATTTTGAGGGGTTCAAAACTTCAGGGGAGGAAGTAACTGCAGATGTGGTGGAAACAGCAAGAGAACTGGAATTAGAAGTGGAACCTGAAGATGTGACAGAATTGCTGTAATCTCATGATAAAACTTTTAACGAGTAAGGAATTGTTTCTTATGATGAGCAAAGAAAGTGCAATGTACTCCTAGTGAAGAGGCTGTGAACGCTGTTGAAATGACAATAAAGGATTTAGAATATTACATAAACTTAGTTGGAAAAGCAGTGGCAGGGTTTGAGAGGACTGACCCCCAATTTTTAAAGAAGTTCTACTGTGGGTAAAATGCTATCAAACAGCATTGCATGCAACAGAGAAATCTTTCATATAAAGAAGAGGCAATCGATGCAGCAAACTTCATTATCGTCTTATTTTAAGAAATTGTCACAGCCACCCCAACCTTCAGTAACCACCACCCTGATCAGTCAGCAGCCATCAAAATTGGGACAAGACCCTCCACGAGCAAAAAGATTACAACCTGCTGAAGGCTCAGGTGATGGTTAATATTTTTTACAATAAGGTATTTTTCAATTAAGGTATGTACATTTTTTTTTTTAGACATAATGCTATTGTACATTTAACAGACTACAGTATAGTATAAACGTAACTTTTATATGCACTGGGAAATGAAAAAATTCGTGCGATTAGCTTTATTGCAATGTTTTGGAACTGAACTCGCAATATCTCCAAGGTATGCCTGTATACACCAACAAATATGGGTAAGCTGCATGTGAGTCCTGGGGAGAGAAAGTAGAGTGATTTGTGGTCGTATCTCAACAGGATCCAGTCTCATGCCTGATATTTTTTTGTGCATTTTACTCATTCCTTCACCAGCTCACTCCTGTTCATCTGAGCTCACCTTAGCCCCCTATATAGCAACAATGACTACAACCAGCACCTCCCTGCTGTGGTCACCAAACTTGACTGAATCAACTCTTCAACTGGTAACTGAACAATTAAAGAAATTATTTTACTTTGCTAAATATTGTTTGCATTTATTATGTGCCTTATTGCAATCATCATGTGTATTTGTTTACTTTCATTACAGTATATACTCACTACAGTGAAGAAAGAAATATTCAAATCTGTTACATACAGCATACAAAAAATTACCGTTCACTAGTGAGTTTACTGGAGTTCTTGGGTGGTGCAAATGGTTAACATATTCAGCTGCTAACCGAAAGTCTGGAGCTTTGAGTCCACCCAGAGTGCCTCAGAAGAAAGGCCTGGCGATCTACTTCTGAAAAATCAGCCATCAAAAATCCTATGGAGCACAGCACAGTTTTACTCTGACACACATGGAGTCATCATCAGTAGGAGTTGACTTGATGGCAACTGGTTTAGTGAGTTCATTAAATGTTAAATAATAAAGTAGCTGGTATTTTAAATGTTTATATTATACAAAAATCTGTTAACATTTTTTTATATAGGTATGTATGAGTATTTTAGTAATATTTGGGAGAAATGGTTGGGGCTTTTGGATGAGCAGGGAAAGCATTTATTTTTTTCCTATTTAAATTGATGGAATAGAGTCCTTCTATGTACTCCGGGTTTTAATTCATATATAAAACCATCTTCCCTCTTTTCGGATCATAAAGAAAATTTTGCCAGTTTCTTCTACGGAGAAACCTACGAGAGCCGGAACTCGATGGGACTGCCTTGTTCTTCCGGGTCTCAGAAGTTTTCTGCCTTTGACGGGGTGCAGTCTTACCACTTTTCTATTGCTTGCTTTAGTGGAAAATACTTGAGTATTCCTTCTCTAACAGGTTTCTACCTTACACAGGTTCTGGCTTTTATAGATTTTACTGTATTACTTTTATGGTTTTATTGCATACTTTTAAATATTTGCTCTAGCTATGAATTTGAGGTATAGATTCAAAAATTTGTTCCAGGTGGCTACCCAGTTATCTCAATATCAGATACTGAAGAGTCCACTTTTTTCATGCCTTTATCACATACTAAACACCTACATGTATTTCGGTCTACTTTAGACTTCATTTTGTTCCACTGATGGAACTTTCTGTGTACTTGTACCATACTGTTTTAATACCTGCTGAGGCCAGTCCCGCCTCATAACTCTTCTTTCTCAAAACTTTCCTGGCTATTCTTAATTTTTTCCATAGGAACTTTAGAATCAGTTGTATAATCCCAACTCCTCTGCTCTCTCCCCCCAAAAAAATCCTGTTACCATTTCTTATCAGAACCTCATTAAATGTACTATTTACCTTAGGGGGCTCTAATGTATTTATGGTGTTGAATTTTCCTATCTGAAAGCATGGTATGCTTTTTCTATTTCTTAAGGTCTTTTCTTGTCCCTTAGTGACATTTTTTATGCACACACATAAATGTCTTTAGTTAAGTTCATTCCCGTGTATTTCAATTTTTTTCTTGCTATTGTAAATGGAGTCTTCTAGTACACCTTAGCTACAGTTCATGTATCTGAAAGGTTACTGATTTCTCTTCATTAATTTTGTACCCAGGCACTCTTAACCAAATTCTCTTACTTGTTTGTCATAGTTTTTCAGTTGACTCTTAGGTTTCTATGTATACATTAAGTGAACACTTCTGCAAATAACCAATCTTTCACCAACTCCCTTTCCAATTTTTATAACTTATTTTTTAATTCTTGTCTAGTTGCTTTGGCCAGGACCTCCAAAATAATGCTAAACAACAATGGTGATACTGAATAGTCTTATTTTTTAATTTTTATGGGAATATGTCTATTATTTCTGTTAAACATGATGATGGGTTTTAGATCAACACAGAATTTATTAAGAATGTATCTAATATAAAATTAATAGATTAAGAATTATCTAATTCAAGATTCATCTTAACTTTCAAAATTCAGAAAAGTCAAGAATGATACTGAATTTATCAAATGAGTACTAAGTATTATTTACGAAATGTGTTAACAGTAATGTTTTTGGAGTTAATTAGACATCTAAACATTTCTATTTCTTGTATTTATCTTTTGAAAACAGATTCACACAATTATTTAGGTAAAAGAATGCTCATCAAAGCATTATTATAGTAGCAAAAAAACTTGGAAAAAACAGCCACCTACAAGAATCATTTGAGTAAATTAAGGTGAATGTAATGTTACTCACTACATTCACTTATATAGTGTCATTCAAAATCATGTTCTCAAAGAATATAAAAAAATATTTACAGTGTTAAACAACACAAAGTTGGTTACAAAACTATAAACAGTACAATCTTAACTTTAAAAAAAATATATATGCTCAGATGAAAACAAGACTAGAATACATATACTCCAAATGTTAGCAGTGGTTTCTCTCTAGGTGGGAGGATTATAGACAATTAACTTTTAGTATTTTCAAATTGCTTCAGTGAACATGCATTTTTATAATAATGAAAAAAGTAATCTCAGAAGACCATGGTCATTATTGTCTTCACTTTTATAGCAAGAACAATAATATATTTTTGGCATTATGCATATGTGTACATATATTATCATATAATTAGTATTATTATATATTAAAAGATTAGGGATTATTTATAGGTCCCTAGGTGAAGCATTTCTACTCTGTAACACATGGGGTTGCCATGAGTCAGAATCAACTTGATGGCAACAATCAACAAATATTATTTACTATGTAAGAGCCATTTAATAATTAATATAGATTAAAACATAATGCCAAGTTGTTACTGTTAATATATTAACATATTCACTAGTCTAAAACCAAATATTTAATTGTATTGTGTAAGTGAAGACATAATGTTGACTAGAGTAGAGGTCACACAAATTTATGGGTGGGAAAAACTTCATAGAAAGCACACATACACTAGTGCATAAAACTGGTGATAACTGTTCTCAGTTTGGTCCTATATAGATAGTTGTTTAAAAGAGCATGATGCTCAAGGCATACAATTCAATGACACTGATTATATTCTTCAAGTTGTACAACCATTCTCATCCTCCTTTTCCAAATTGTTCCTCTCTCATTAACATAAACTCACTGCCCCAAAAGCTTCCTGTCTAATCTTTCTAGTTGCTGTTGACAAAACTGATGAGATCTGAATAAAGCTGATGGAGTGTATCAATGTCAATTTTCTGGTTGTGATACTGTATTACCGTTATACAAGATTTAACTAGTGGAGGAAACTGGATGAAACAGGAGCTCACTATATTATTTCTGACAACTGCATGGTAATACACAGTATTTCAAAATTAAAAGTTTTTTTAAAAAAAGGATGACATAATGATTCTTTTGTTTAGCATATGCACATCCTGCGAGCTCCTAAGAGCTTATAATTTGTTCTGAATGGCTAAATATGTCTATAACAAATTGCTTTTGTAAATTTAGCAACAGTACACTGTTGGCTGCCTGGTACTGTCAGGTTAAAAAAAAAATTCTAATATGCTTCACTCCATATTAACTGGGTATAGCAAATATTAAGTTCTTGGTTATATGCATTAGGATTCTGGGGTCCATTGGCCATATTTCTAGATTCTCCATACAAACCAGAAAGGAAAAGATGATTAGTTCAAAATCAGACTTTATACCACAATTTGAAAAATCTAATTGTTCTAATAGGTAATGACAAAAAAATGTTCAATAAAACATAAATACTAAAAACTGCATAAGATCTTGGTTTTGGTTAAAACACAAAAATGTATGTATAGAAAAAAGGCTGAAGAAAAGATAAAATATTAACAGTGTTTTTCTTTAAACGGTAGGATATGCATGATTTTATTATGTTCTTTCTATATTCCAAATTTTCCATAATTAATCTGTATTAATTTTATAATAAGAAAAAAATCCAATTGTGTCTATTAAAATATCTTTAGAATACAGCATTCCCTCTGCAGAAACATCTTAAGTGTTAATGATACAATGCTGATAAATGAAGAAAAACTTACACTAGATTGTCTTCGTTAAAGTCTGGTTGAAGATTATCAAGAGGAAACAAAGATCTAAAATCAATTCCCATATTGAAAAACACAGCTGCTATATCAGATAAGGATGGGATCCAGGGCCACACCGGTGAGTCATTGAAGATATCTAGTTAACAGAAAAAATATTTTATTCCAAATCCAGTTAAAAATGATTGGCTAAATAAATGAATAAACTTGCAACCATTTCTCCACTTAGCCAGCAAAGTGAACCATGACTTGGCAAATACTAGATAAGAGCTGCTACTTGCAAGATCTTAAGCCCTTTTTCTCAATGCAACTAGAAAAATGCAGATACTCATCTTTGACTGCAGTTTCATTTCATTATTAAAAACTTTTGATTACAAAAATACTTTTTATTTCATATTCTCAAATACACTAACAGATAGCAATAGGACACCATATAAATAGCAACCAGTAATACACACTGTTAATCACAGTAAATTTATACACTTACCATTCCTGATTGTTATTTCCATCAATGTACTTAAAATCTGCACGGACACAATACAGTCTGTATGAACTGACATCATCTGTCAAAAGCAGATAAACGATAAGAATAGTAGAAAGAGAGAGAACATATGAGCATTTACTATTTGTCAGGCTTTATGTACATTTCATTTAATACTTAAAACAACCCTAGTTGCTCATTACAGATACAAGCAAATACGCTCAGAGAGATTCAATACACTACAAAAAGTAATACATGTGGGGAGTTGGAATTTAAATTCAGATCTGATTCTGAAGTCAGGGCTCTTTCCAATCTAACACACTGTTTATTTTTACAAGTTTCATTTATAATCAGACAAATATTTGAAACTACTGAAAAAAAGCCTTTCTAGTTCATATGATATGAAACCCAAAAACCATAAAGGAAAAGGCTGCTAAGGTTGATCACATGATGGCAAAATCAAACCACAAACTAGTAAAATTATTTTAAAAGATAAATATGCAAATTAAAATGGCAATAAACTTTCAAAAAGATGTTCAATATCATCATTAATCACAGAAATGCAAAGAAAAACAATAACAAGATCATTACCTTACTTCAAGATTGGCAAAGATCAAGAACATCGATTATACTCATTATTAACAAGCGTACTAGAAAGAGGTAGTCCTATGCACCACTAGTGTGAGTCTAATTTGGTAAACTCTTTTAAGTAATTGAGTAATACTTATACAAAGTTATTATACTTCGGTCTAGTCAGTCTTTTTACATACAGGAATTCAGATGTAGAGTCATAATTTACATATAAATTTTACAAAACAAATTTTCGGGAAAAAAATCTCAAGTTTAAATAAATTTTTAAAAAAATCGTAACAGATGAAATCAATTGTAAAGTGGTCTTATAAAGGGAAACATATTGTTATTTATTACGTCTTTCTCTTTTGCTTTGGAGCCACGGATTATAATAAATCTAAAATGTAATGGGGAATAAACCAAACTCTATTTTCAATCAAGCATATGGCCTGTGTCATTTTTGTCACAAAACCAATCTACGTGAAAAACGTCTGTTTGTGTTGTTAAGTGCTGCCACTAGGGGACAGCACCATTCACAGGCACATTGAACACAGGACAAATTTTGAACAATCATTTTAGGGGGCGATGAATTCTACAGGTGGGCAATACAGTAATCTAAGTACATGTGCAAAGAAGTGTATATAACAATCCAATGTCTATCAACTGGGATTGGGTTAAATATATCATTATACAGCCCTACAAACAATACTATAAAGCCATTAAAAAGTATGATACATAGCTATACTAAATGAGTTGAAAAGACCTTAACAATTTATTGTTATCTGACATAAACAAGTTATAAAATAGTACACATTCTGTTTAAGTCATATAACAATCTATGTATCCACAGATACACATTCTGTTTATGTTAAGTTATATAACAATCTATGTATCCAGAGAGAGAGACCTAGAACACTGACCAAAATGTAACAGCCCCTGAAAACAGCTTTCTTTTTTATATTTCCTTTCCATTTTACTTGAACTTTTCACAATCAAACAAATCCCCTTTGAAAATAATTTAAAATAAATAAGTAAATAAATTGCCTTCCTGGTCTTCTACGCTTAGACCTTCAAGATAAAAATCACAAAGATGCATTAGGTGCCGTTGAGTTGGTGCCGTTGCATTGGTTCCGACTCATAATGGCCCTGTGTATAAAAAAATGTAACACTGCCTGGTCCTGAGCCATCCTCACAATTATTGCTATGTTTGGGTCCATTATTGCAGCCACAGGGTCAATCCATTTCATTGAGAGTCTTCCTCTTTTTTGCTGACCTTCTACTTTACGAAGCATGATGTCTTTCTCCAAGGACTGGTCCCTCCTGATAACATGTCCAAAGTATGTAAGATGAAGTCTTGCCATCCTCCCTTCTAAGGAGCATTCTGGCTGTATTTCTTCCAAGACAGACTGTTCATTTTTCTGGCAGTCCATGGTATATTCAATATTCTCTGCCAACACCATACTTCAAAGGCATCAATTCTTCTTCGGTCTTCCTTACTGACTGTCTCGCTTTCGCACGCAGAAGAGGCAACTGAAAATACCATGGCTTGGGTCAGGTGCACCTTAGTCCTCAAAAAAAAAAAAACTTTGCTTTTTAACACTTTAAAGAGGTCTTCTGCAGCAGATCTGCCCAATGCAGTCTGTCATTTGATTTCTTGACTGCTGCTTCCACGGGTGTTGACTATGGTTCCAAGTAAAATGAAATCCTTGATAACTTCAATATTTTCTGTTTACCACGAAGTTGCTTACTGGTTCAGATGTGAGGATTTTGTTTGAGGTGCAATCCATAATGAAGGCCATAATCTTTGATCATCAGTTAAATTTATAAAACACTAATTAGGACTACAGCATTAAAATAAATTTGACATTATACTTTCTAGAAATTAATTACAAGTCAGTAAAAGTCTTTCCACCATGCAAATGAACTTGAAATTGTAAAGAAATGTGACAAAGTGTCTTACACAGAGAAGGTGCTTAGTTAATGATTATTAGTTTGATTTTCAAAGAATAAATACGAAGACTATAAATAAACTTTTTAAACATGCTTGTGTGTCATAGTAAGCCTTTTAAAGGCTACAGTAATGATGGGCCCATATCACCAAGACAAAAATTAACAGACAAATGTAACTTCTTACTTGTTAGAGTAAAAATAGATTACATAGACAATAATGAAGCCCTGGCATGACAGCAGATGGACTTTTGAATTGTAACGAATAGAAGTATCTTGGTAAGGTAGATGGTTAAGAGTCTCACTGAAAGCTCTGCTGATAAGACCACGTCTAGAGCACGTGCCCTATTATGGAGAGAAGAACACTTCTAAGGGTGACACTGACAAGCTAGAAGTCATTCAGAAAGACGATCAGCAAAGTAAAGGGACTGGAAATTTAGGGACCTAAGAATATTTGACGAGGGCAGGAATGAGGTCACGAGAGTTGTTTTAAAACAACTGAAGGACGGTGAGTTAGCTGGATGAGGATTATTCTGGAAAGCTTTAGAAAAGATAATTAGTACCAACAGATAAAAATCATAGGGGGAAATTTTTTTACTTAACTAGGACTGTTAAAAAATTACTGAGGTCCAAGTAGTGAGCTCCTAATCACTGGGAACAAATGCTCTTTCTCCAGAGTCTTGGCACCACCTCTGTCTGGAATGTTCTTCACTCCAGTGGTGAGGGTCATTCCTTTACTTTCTTCAGGTCTTTAATCAGACTTCACCTTATCAGCAAGACCTTCATGAACGACCTTTGATTAAAAACAAACTTTTCCTCCTATTCTGGTGCTCCCTACATCTACCTTAGCCTACCTTAATTTTCTTCACAGCACTTATCATGTGACATAATATATTTATAAATGTGTGTACACACACACACTTTTGTCTGTCTTCTCTATATCAGAATGTGGGTTTCATGAGATCAGAGACACTGCTTTTCCACTGGTGTTATCTCCAGTGCCTGGCACACACCTGGCACTCAAAAATACAACTATATGAAAAAAATTAATGAAAGGCTATACCAGAATATCTCTCAAGTCCTTGCCAAATATGAAATTCCTTGCAATTCTATCTTAATGTCCCGAGCAGAAACTCTACATTCTTTTCCCACTTCTCATTTCACATATAATAGAGTTCCCTGATACCACTGCTAAGTTACTATTTCAATAAAACAAATATTAAGCCAATTATAACTACAGAATTTAAGAGTTAAAAATAAATGAGGAAGAGAAATGCTCAGGTGGATTCCATCCAAATCCTGAACATATATATAATCACCTCCATAAAAATGGGAAAAAAAATTTAGTATATGAACATTGGACGATGCCTTCTAAAACTATAATAGTGATTTACCAGTGTGATGAAATCTCAGGCACAACTTATACTAATGACTATCCTGCATACTAGCTATACTATCCCTTCCTTTATAATCTATTTACAATGACTTTTTTTGCCTCATTGGAGCCCTGGTGGTGCAGTGGTTAAGAGCTCAGGCTGCTAATCAGAGGTCAGCAGTTCGAATCTACCAGCCACTCCTTGGAAACCCTATGGGGCAGTTCTATTCAGTTTTACAGGGTTGCTACGAGTCAGAATCGACTCAATGGTGATGGGTTTCGAACATACTGAAGTCATGGGCTTGATGTGCTAGATTTTTCTTTATTAACGTGCAGATAAAAGTATATTTTACAAAGTTTGACTAGGAAATATAGTAGGGACCAATTTTAACCCCCAAAACATTTCTCTCACCCGAAATAGCCACTTTAACACAGGTACAGGACACTGGACATTGTGATAAGCGGAAGTAAGGAAGCCTTGTGTTGTCAAAAAAATCTGATCTGTTTTTCCTGATCTGAAAAATAAAGCGAAATCAGTTTGACTGTTACCTCTACGGCAAAACACCTCTACCACTTTCACCACCACCACCACCACATCTGACATAATCGCGGAAATGAGCAAGTAAATCATCCTCAGACCATGTAAGTGGACTCTACCCTAATGTGCGTGAGTCACTCATAAAAGGAATGCAACTGATGGCCCAAAGCTGATCCAGTCTGTTGGTTCCAGACTTATTCGGTGGACAAATCTACATTTGTTCTCAGTGTCAATAAGGAGCCTATCAAGTCTCAGGCCATCCTGTTTTTCCCAGTTTGGGGATGTACTTCATTAAAACTCATAGTGCCAGAATCAGTGCAGTTTCCCTGGACCTGAGATACTGGGCACTGGGAAAGATGAGACCAGCTCAGGCACTGTGGTACAGACTATTGTGGTAGTTGCCTATACTAACATCTATTCTTAATTTCCTTGATAAGAGAACTCCGATTTGCTGGGCACACTGGCTGCCTGGACCAAAAATCACTTTCCAGCCTCTCTTGTAGCTAGATGTGGCCATACCAAGTTCTAACCAATTAACTATAAGTAGAAACGCTGCATGGGATTTCTGGGAATCTGAATGTAAAACCACCTGCAGCCCCTGTACTGGAGACAGTGGAGCAGAAAGATGATATGGTGATACCAACACACCAGCCCTGGACTTCCTACCTTGTAACTTCTTTCACTTAAGAAAGAAATATACTTTTTGTTTAAGCCCTTGTTATTTTGACAGCCAATGTCAATACATAGTGATCTAAATCCTAACTAATAAAGTCACACGATATGCTAAACAACTAGCCTATACTGCTTCCTGTAATTAAGAAAACACAAAGAGCAATCATAATAAAAGGAGTAGGAAACTGGATAGATCATAAAGAAATTAGCCTTTCAGAAACTACATCAGTCATATTATCTTTTAACTTTTTATACAGAAAAAAGTAAAATGTCTATTTTTCTACTTACTTAAGAATAAGCTTTTCTACAGCACTTTGTCCAATAAAACCAGAGTCTCTTAAATCCAGAGTATGTTGATTAAAAATTTTTCCAGAACTGAGGAAATGAAATATTTCTTCACCTGGATGATGATCGGGAATAGCATCGACCGTAACTGAAAATTTCTTTAAAAATTCCCTGAAATAATAAGAGGGGGAGGATTGAATACCAAATAGTTATACTGAATATGGTTTTGTAGTTAAAATAAGTTGTATGCAATGAATTTTTTTTTTTTTTTTAATTTACTATTTCATTGTGTTTTTGGTGAAAGTTTACATAGCAAGTTGGGTTCCCCTTCGTCACTCTCCACATAAACTGATCAGTGACATCAGTTACATTTTTCACTTTGTATCAACAATGCGTTCTGGTTGTTCCATTTCCAGTACTCTAGTTTCCCTGCCCCCTTATCTTCTCAACTTTACTTTGGATTAAATGTTGACCTTTTGGATTCACACAGGTTTTTTAAGTAGAGTACTGATCTAATGGGTAATATCCTTTACTATGTGTGTCACTCTGCTTCTCTGTTAAGAAGTGATCTTGGGATAGTTTTGGTTCAAGGTTTAAAGAGTGTCTCGGGGAGTCCTCTGGTTTCAGGTAGTACAGTTAGGTCGGCCATCTTTAAGAATTTGAGAAGGAAAAAAATTTTTTAAAGACCTATGTTAATCCCAGATTAGAAGACTAGCATGAAAAAAAATATGTTTTGCTTTTCTCACTTTCTCCTAGCAATTAGTCCAAAGCCACTACATGTCTGTGAATAAGAACAATAATCAAGAAAAAAGACCAAAAGATGTAACTCAGCCCTAACATTCTGCCTTTCTAATCCATCAGAGATGGGTAAGAATTCGTCATAGTTTACTCACTATGTAAATAACCATCAACAGTCATTTATTTTACAAAAACAGCATTATAAAAACTTAAACACTTAGCAGGGTACGCACTATGAAAAATGCTCTACCTGTGCTCTTCTAAGAGGCCATCCTCATCACCTGTAGTGTCTGGATCTCCGATTCTGAGGGGGGATTTAATGCCTCGGCCCTGCCTTATATCTTCTTGTAGTTGCTTCTGCAGTTCATCCAGCCTACAATTGGAAGAATGCTACAATAAATAGTTTACCTTAAAAACAGTTTATGTCTAAGAGAAGCACAAAGAAAAATCCTAATTAAGTACCTCATTATATGACAAATTTTGTTAACATTATGAGTCAAATCATGTCTCCCAAATACACCCCCATATACAATATAGTGTACCTTTCTCATTAAAACATAGAAATCTATTTTAGGTCTTGAACTTTTACCCAGCTACCAGTACAGTGTTAGAACAGTGTTCCACTGCATAAAACACTTGAGTATTTCTTTATAGCTTTAACTTCCAGAATGATCTGACCAAATCATTTAGCGAGGGAAAGGAAAAAAGGCAAAGAATAAACATCACTAATTTGATAATCACCCCTAATTTTTAATGCTCAGTTGACTTCTAGTGGACCAACAACACAGTACATCAACTAGGCTTTCCAGCAGCAGCAGTTGTTGTCACCATCATTATCATAACACCTAACACCTACTGAACACTTACTTTGTGACAGGTGCTGTACTAGGGGCTTTGTTACTAACCCTCTTAACTCTCACAACAAACTCATGTGGTAGCTTACTATTATCCCATTTTATAGATGAGGAAAGACATTAGAAAAGCTAAGTAACTTGCTCAAACTCACCATACCAGGAGCTGGGATTTAAAGCCAGTCAGTCAAGCTCCTGAGTCCTTGCTTGTACTGTTGCTCCAATATTATTTTAATCTAGATTCTCATTCCTAGCCCCAGCTCCATCCCCTGAAAACCCTACGTCTAGGTTACCTGAGTATGGTAGAGTATTAAATAACCAGTAAATGTACTGCTCTATCAGTACAGGAAAGGGCAATCAACAAATCAAACTAGCACCTCAGCCTTTGGTCTGCAACGTTCAATTTTAAATAAGCAACTTCAGGTTTCGTATCACCGACCAATAAATTGATGAAATATTAAAGAATTTTATAATGGGGGGATAATTTTTACCTACTAATTCTCTGCAAAAATTCCTAAAGTTAAGCTACTTGGTTTTCAAGTTTGGGACACATGTATACCAATTTCCATGTAATCAAGCCAGCTGAGCTTTTAGTGAAGTACTCGGGTTAGCTTCAAACCCCCTCTCATCAGCAAAAGTAGGCTGTAACTACCCACAACAATTTCAGCAGGATTAGTATTGACCTCAAACTTTCTGATTTCTGTAGGGGGCGGGGGGAGGAGGGAAAGACTGTTATAATTCTAAAATTTTTCTTTAAAAGAGTAACCTGATGGAGAAATAATGTCTGGTTATAAAACCTGGAGTTGACAGGCATACAAACATTTAAAAAAATTCTTTGGATCAAGAATTTCAGCTACCAGTTAGATACCAGTTGTGATAAACAGAAAGGAATTTATAATAGCAGTTAATCTAGACCATAAAAACCTGGATCTTATGATCTGGTCTATGAGCAAGATAGAACACCTTATTCCTAACAAAGTTGACAGCAGAAGGACTGCTATGAAGGTACGAGCACAGTATGTATGCTTACTTCTCATGACTTTTTAAGGTAAATTAAAAGTAAGCCATAGAGAACAAAGCAGAATAGAGGTGTACCAATAAGGCAACTCTGAAAACTTAACAAAAAATAGCTATGTAATGTTAGTCAGGGACAAACCACACTTCAAACAAGCAATATGTTGAATTTAACAAATTAAGCATGATGCTAACTAACCTTTGAGTGTCTTCCATCTCCTTCACTAGACGCTCTAAAGTATTTGTGTAAGTTCCACAATGAACATGTTCCTAAAGCAAGAAAATTTAGAAATACTTTACAACGTATCTCAGTAGAAGAACTGGGATGTTTAAAGTTCTTCAGAGTATTAAAGATTATTTTCTATCTCAATAACCTGAGCCAGGATACCTTTCTTAAAGGAGAATTTTCACCATCATGCTTTAATTAAATCTAGTATTTTGTACTGCAGGCAATTCAATTTTACCATCAGGAAAGGCACTACTTAGAAAAGCCTGTTAGTCTTAGTTATAAGGAACTGACTGCAAATACCCCAGGGCTCAGTGGCTACCCTGTATTTACTTTCAAATTCTATTTTAGTGGAATAACACTAATTTTTACGTGTTACCATGGAACATTAGCACCTTCCCCACCAAATTTTATAGACATCTTAGAATTTAATTCAGCTAATTCCCAAGACAGAATGAAGCACTTTATAAATAAAACTGCACACCACAATTAACAACATTTCTACACTCTACCTTCATTTACAGCAGTGGTCTCCAAAGCAGGGGGTGTGCAAGGTGATCCATTGGGGTGCAGGAAGAAAATAATAGAACTTCTATTTATATGGAACTTCTATAGAAACTCCAGTAGAACTTACAGTAACTTCTACGTAACTTCTATAGGAAAATACTTTTTTCTTCTTCCTTTTATTTTTGCATGTTTTAGAAAACATACAATAGTATAGTGGTACATGTATATAATCTACAAATTTACATATATATTGGAGTACATGCTCAAAAAAAATTTTTTTTTTTGTACTAACAGAAGTGTATGTGATCAAAAAGTTTGGAGACCACTGATTCACAGTAATAAAACTAAAGATACTGGAAACTCATTAGCCAAACAAGAACTGTACCAGTTTCGGTCCAATTATGAGTCGTATCAAATACTAAATTTTAAAATAAGTTCTAATAATCTATTCTTTTTTCACTAATCAACCCATCTTTCCCTCTTCAAGTAAAGATAAATGTCCTGAACTACTTACTGTATAATCTGATGACTGAGAGCTAAGCCCCTTGGGAAGAGCAGGAGACTTTCTTGCGGCTGCAGGAGTCTGACTGAAGTTCAAAGCCATTATTTCTTCCAGTGATTTTAGTGTTTCCTCTTCCTCGTCACTGTCTAGGTTGTAATCTAAACTTTCTTCATCACTATCAAAATCACCCCTTAGTTTCCTTTTCAGTGCACTGCTACCTGCATTGGAATTTCCTGAACTCTCTTTATCTGGAGGGGCTTTATCTGAAGGAGCAGTAGAGCTTGGGATACATGGCACAACTTCCAAAGCAGCCGGAGGAGACTTGGTAGGAGTGCCATATTCTGAACGCAAAGATTCCCCAGAAACGTTCCCTGAAGACATATTAGAATCAGCCTTATTAGTCTTTGATTTGTGTTCCTTGTGTTTGGAGGACTCTGTAGAATGCCCAGAATATTCTCTAGATGAGGAACGATCTTTATCTTTTTTAGAGACTGGAAGAGTGCAATTTTTAGCATTTAATGGTACCCGAGAGGAACCAGCACTTGGAACATGGGAAAGTAAAGGTACAAGTTTTGTCTCCTTTGACGTCACAGAGCTAGCAGTTTTATTTTTCGGAAGGCTGCTAGCTTTTTTAACTGCAGATCTTTCCTGAGGTAAAGGTAAGTGGGGTTTCTGAATCTTAGTCTCTTTGGTACTTGCCACACGGATCTGGTCATTATTCTTGGAAGAATGGTGGCCAGAGTGTGAAGGTGCCAAGCCTACAGAGGAGCGATCACCTTCATCATTTGGTTCCTTGGAGGATATATCTTCCAAGCGCAACACATCACCAGGTGTCTTCAGCGCAATGTGTCTTATAAATTTCTCTCTCCGATGTGGTCCATCAGGATGCTTCTCAAGGAAGGACTCTTCTGCTCTTGGTATTATAGACTCCCTTGTGCTTTTCAGATCTGAGTTCACAGAGTTCCTTTTTCTTTTGTCAGAGAATTTATTCTTAGAGCCTGCTAAAATTTAATTTTTGCCACATTAGTCAAAAGTATACTTCCCTATCTTAGTAAAGGTTATTCAATGAACACCCTGAAGAAATGTCTAAATTCTAAAAGCTTAGACTGAGATTATTCACCACATATGGAATGAGAAAAAAAAAAAACTATTATTTATTAACTGATAAATATTTGTGTCAAAAAAATATAAAAAAATTGCATAGTTGCACCAAGGAAAGAATTCCAAAGGCACTTACCCTCAAAGTTGACATACTCTTTTTTTTAGATCAAGAACTACCTGGCTTCAGAAATTTAACAGTTCTACATCTACATTTACAGTTCTTTGAAACACATGTAGAATAACTAGATGAAGGTAGATAAATTTTAATTTTTCAAAATAATTCACCCAAGTCTTCCCCCTAGCATGTAATTACTATTCTTTCCCATGTATCTCTCTAGTCTTCAGCTGTCTATGTGTTAGGAGCCCCACCCTAAAGCACTTACAATAACCACATATATTTGAGTTAACCAGTTTTAAAAAATTTCTTATTGTGCTTAAAAAAAAGAAACGTTTCATTAGTTCACTCTTAATATTCATTATTCATTATAAACTCACTGTTTGTATAATCAGTATTCTCAAAATCAAATTTCCCTGTATCAAGTTTCTTTCTGAACATGGACAGATGTCCCCACTCCACAAAAGTTCAATTAAAAAAAACAAACTTGAGTCAAGAATTAAGCAACTATTATTTGGATAGCTTGATCAACTCATAATCTGGAAAATTCAGTTTACGCTAATGAAAAATTAACTAATCAATCTATAACAAGAGCCCCTATCTCTATTCTTTTATAGGTTATCACCCACTACCTGAAGAAATCATTCCATGCCCACAAAGTTTTCAGCGGTTAAATGACTGGGGCCACTTACAGTGCAGGAAGAGAATTCAAATGACTATGAAAAAGAAAAGACTTAACGGTAGAATTACACTGATTATCTCAACTTTAAATCTGTGGTTACAGAGAAGATAGCTACAGAGTCGCCTGTTTGAGTTTTGTTTCATTTTCCCTATGGGGCAGTTCTACTCTGTCCTACAGAGTTGCTATGAGTCAGAAATGACTCGAAGACAACAGGTTGTAGAAGTCAGACAATTTACATACAGCTAGTAACGAGGAAAAATCTTGCTTTGCTCAGACTTACCCAGGAGATGCTTAGGACAAATTAAGAGCTTTTAACATGTGGAATTAAAGAGAGATGAATTGGTACTACAGGCACGCTCCCCTTTTGCAAGCTCTCTAGGGAGTGAATTAACTTCAAAAATTTCATGATTCCTTTTACACTCTTTTACAGCCTATAGAAGGGAGCCCTGGTGGCATAAGGGTTAAAGTGCTTGGCTGTTAACCAAAAGGTCGGAGGTTCGAATCCACTAGCTGTTCTGTGGGAAAAGATGTGGCAGTTTGTTTCCATAAAGATTTACAGCCTTGGAAACCCTATAGGGCAGTTCTACTCTGTCCTATAGGGTCGCCATGAGTCAGAATCGATAGTTTTTCAAATATCTATTGCTATGGTTCAGTGGTAAAATTCTTGCTTTCCATGTGGGAGACCTGGGTTCAATTCCCAGCCTGCCCTCATGTGCAGCCACCACCTTCTGTCAGTGGAGGCTTGCATGTTGCTATGATGCTGAACAGGCTTCAGTGGAGCCTTCAGACTAAGACAGACTAGGAATAAAGGGCTGGTGATCTACTTCCGAAAATAAGCCAATGAAAACCCTATGGATCACAATGGTCCAAACCCCAACCAATCATGGGGTTGGCACAGGACCAAGTAGCATTTTGTTCTGTTGAGTGTGGGGTTGCCATGAGTTTGGGTCAACAACATTGATATATAAAACACCGATACATAAAATACTCCGTTAAGAGAAGGACTGAGTTTGTAAAAAGAAAAAAACGGAAAAATCGAAACATCCATTAATTGGTTATTAAATATTAATTTCGGGACTATTACTAAAAAATTATGGAATGTACCAGGGATAGATTAAATTTGACCTCAAAATTCAGTCAAAGGACACGGCCTCTGGAAGACCAAAGAGCCAAATACCTACTCTACCAACATTTCTGAAATACCTGAACTTGCATGTGATGAATGATCATGTGAGCGTGTATACCACCATCACAACTGATAAGTATAACTGCAGTAATATCAACAAGATATGCTATTTGCATTTTTAGTAACTATTCACAATCTGATAAAAAGAAAAGCATTCTTTAGCATTTTTCATTCTAGAGTGAAAAATCCCTTTATGTTCTTTATATATTGAAATCCTGTCAGTCAAATGAAGAACAAATGTATAAATTAATTATACATATTAATGATGATTATAAAATGTATGCAAAAATATTAGAAATAAAGATATAAGTGAAGGCAATCATCTTAAGTCTGCCTCTGAAAATGTGCAGGAAACATCTTTTTAAAGCAGTGCTCAAAAAATTCAGAATGTGGGATTATACAAATGAAACTATTTCAGCTACCACTGACAAAATCTACAAACCCAGGAACTATAAGAGTTTTTTTTTTAAATCTTAGTCATTACCAGAGAAAAAGGAAGCTGAATGACTCGGTAGCAACACCACCACCAGCAGTCCCTTAAACTGAGAGAGTTGCTGAAAAATATTTTGCTCTTCTACTCACCCCAGTGCAAAGTGATCATCTATTTAGTATCACAAATATGCAGTACAGTAAGTGCAGGAACAATCATGTGCTAATAAATTCTTGTTCGTGTATTATAATGTCAAAATTCAGTAAAATTTAAACATTAAAATCCATAACATTTTAAGAATTAATTTTTTTTTAAAAAAACCATATACAACTTCAGATTTATTTTTGTATTCTTGAAGTTCCTTCTATGATGGTGAAATATGGTTTCAGCCCTTGCTAAGATTGATATTAACACTCGGGGCACTTGGTCAAAATGCAATATCCCTCTAGAATATACCAGAAGATGGAGTATTATGTACAACCTCAAGAATGAATCAGAATTTTTTCTCTTTGTACTCTTTTGTTTTTTCATCTGTAGAAGTAACTACCTTAAAAGGTTGTGAGGATCAAATAAATTAAAAGCACAGAACAGACATGGCACATAACCGCTCAACAAATGTTAGCTATTATTATCATCATATCAAACGTGTCTTGCTGAATGGGGAAATATGTAAAGTCTGTTTTGCAAACTTTGTAGTCGTGGCAGGGAAGAAAAAATCTGATACACCAAACTATTAACAGTTGTTATTTTTGGAGGTGTTTCATTTTCTGTCCTATAAATTTTTGCAGTGTTTGAATTTTATAATGTCCTATTTTCTAACCAGGAAAAGATAAAAAAGATATTTCAAGAATTACTGAGTTAACAGTAGCTGTTTGTTACGTATTTTCTCAACCAACAGATACTAAAAGTACAAACTAGTATCATGTAGGAGTCCTTGAAACTTGATATTAAAAAGGGATCTTTTGAGAATATTGGGAAACACTGTTTTGGATCATCATAACAGTTTCAGTCTTATGCAAAGCATCTTCAACATAATATCAAGACCTCATATTATTCCACAATTCCAAGAATAAAAGATGAAGCTTCTTAACATTGCCAAGGATTCAGAAGTAGAACACTGAATACCAAGATGAGAAAAACACTGACATTTTCGAAGAAGGCAGAGAAGGGTCAAGGCAAACTACAGGTTACATATGCTAAATTCAAGGGCTGTTCTTTTTGAATATAATTTTACCAATACTCTTAACTAATCTGAGACACTCAACTTACCTCTAAGACGGAACCTGCATATTTAAACAAATTTACTTTTAAAAAGTACCATTAAAAGAGATAAATTTATTTAAAAATTCATAAACTTAATACATTGATTCTACCTGAAGCAGGTTCCCACGATTCAGAAGAGGATCTTTTTCTTGAGAGATGTCCATTTTCCTATTAACAAAATGAGAAAAAATTGTAAGTTGGGGCAGTAAAGAATGTGAACTTTTCTTCGTAACATTTAAATATAGATTTCTAGATTAAATAAAGCAAGCACTTAGATTTGGAGCCAAATTCCAACTTCTATAATAATATATTTAAAGATTTTAAGTTTTAATATAAAAACAAAAAGCATTTTAATTATAAAAATGTTATAAAAAGTCAGCTTTCACAATACTAGTTTAGAAATTTATATTAATAACCAAGATTAAAATTATTTATATAAAATTATATATTTAATAATTATATATTAAAAAGTACATATCAGCATTATTGTGATAAAGTATTAATTGAGAAATAGCAAGCCCAATATTTGCCAATCAAATGGACACAACTCACTCGATTCTGTTTAAGTGCTGATGTACCACCAAACACAGAAATCTTATAAAAATGGACCAAAATATCTAACCTCTATTGATCAGTAGCAAATCTCACTAGTAAAGACACCAAATTCCTTGCAAATGAGCCCAAGGATTTATAAATATATTTTCCAGCAACATACAATGCAAAAATTCTCACTTACCCCTAGAATTTCACAGTTGTGTTTATTTTTGGCCTATCTGGCTTTAAAACTTCACAGTACGTTATTGATCTAGCATTTTCTTGATTATCTGATCTTTATCTACCCTGAAGGCTGAGAAGTTCTTTGAAATGGATGTACTTAACGACTTGATTTTCTTGGGGAGAGGGAGTTTTTTATGCTAACCTGATACAAATTTGGTCTACTCTGAAAAGAGAAACCTGATGAAGTTAATATTTGGAGCATTTTTCTAAGTCATCTTCTAAGTTTTCTAAGACCCATACTCACTTATTTAAGATTTATATATAGGCAGTCCCCGGCTTAAGAATAAGATCCGTTCCCGAGTCTGCCTTTAAGTCGAATTTGTAAGTAAGCTGGAACAGCTGCATATGGTTCTTATATAGCCTTACTTTAGTGCAAGAAGAAGCCCTGGTCGCACAGTGGTTAAGAGCTATGGTTGCTGACCAAAAAAGTCAGCAGTTCAAATCTACCAGCTGCTCCTTGGAAACCCTATGGGACAGTTCTACTCTGTCCTATAGGGTAGCTATGAGGTGGAATCAGCTCGACGGCAACGGGTTTGGTTTAGTGTAAGGAAGAGGAGCCTTGGTGGCACAGTGGTTAAAGTGCTCGGCTGCCAACCAAAAGGTCGACAGCTCGAATCCACCAGCTACTCCATAAGAAAAAGAGGTAGCAGTCTGCTTCCGTACAGATTGCAACCTTGGAAACTCTAAGGGGTAGTCCTAGTCTGTCCTATAGGGTTGCTGTGAGTTGGAATCGACTCGATGGCAGTGGGATCAATGCAAAAGGCACAAAGTTTTTCAGCGATTTAAAAGCTGCGCACACCGTAAGTGAAAGTGATTGTGATGAAGAATTTGTTGCAAGTAGGGGCTGGCTCAATTGTTTAAAAGTGAAAGCAAATTTACATAACATTAAAGGACAAGGTGAAATTGTCTCTTAGTAACCTGGGGACTTACTGTACTCTAAAACCAGTGGCTCTCTAACTTCAAAATGCATCAGAATCATCTGCAGGGCTTGTTAATCACAGATTGCTGGGCTACCCTGTCCCCCCACCCCTCAAGTTTTTGGTTTAGGAAAGCTGGAGTGGGGCCTGAGAATTTGCATTTCTAACAAGTGTTGAGCTGATGCTTGCTGGTCTAGAGGCCATATTTCCTGAACCACTGCTCTAAACCATTTCCTCCTGTTTTAGATTTTCCATTCCTCAAATATCCCCCTTCAGTGGAACATAATTTAAAAATGCCTATACTTGTTTTTTTTAAAAAAAGAACACTTACTTTCCTGATTAATACCTTTGTTCCTCGTCTGAAAACATTAAGCGAACAGTTTTACAGAAGGAAATGGAGTTGGAGGAAATCTTATGAAACCAACTTCTACACAAACTGTGCATCAACATTTTCTTAAAGAAAGACACCAGTGTGATGTAACAATTACTAATATTTTTAGATTTAGTATTCTAACTATGATATAGCAGTAGTCAAAGTTAATTCAGTAACTATTGCACATACCAGATTTGAAAGATTACTTTTTCCAGGTATGACGTTGCTCTGCTTGCTTTGTTCCTGCCTTGGTTTAAAGTTTCTTCCTATACTAGGGGATTTTAAGGGAAGATTGCTTGCTTCTGAGAGGGAATTTTCTGAGTTGATTCTCTGCTTAATTTGCTCCTTTCTCATCTTCCTTAGTGCTCTTTCTCTGCAGTAAGATGCTAAGGATGACTGAAACTTAGCTCCAAGTGGGCTTTCCCCTGAGTGGTGCCTGGATAGGCTACTCCTGCTAAGACTTCTGGAGTTGTTCTTGAAGATGTCAGCTTCTGCCACTGTAGCTTGATCTTTGGAGTCTGCATTCCTTTTGTCTCGATCTCTATCACTCTCCTTCCTGCTATTTTCATGAATGAACACTGACTTCCTTCTCTCTGGAGATCGGTGCTTTTTCTTTCGTGCCTTCATCTCTTTTGACAAGCAATATGAAGAAGGCACGTAGACTTCTGTAACCCCCTTTGAAAATCTGGTGGCTAGTGACACACAAGGTTGACGTGATTCATGTACACCATGATCTTTATGGTGCTCTTTAACACCTTTCAAGAAAGCCTCTAAAATAGGGCTCTTTTCTGATGGTATCCTTTTGGGTTTAGATTTTTTTGGTGAGGATAATTTCCTTTTAAACTGCAACAATCCACTTCCTCCATATTTGATGTTTGATTTTTGTGGCGAATCCAACATATGTCTGTCTAAATAGCCAATTAAAAAACATATAAATTATGTTATTAGAAATACCAAAATGTTAAATTATACAAAAGCTACCACAAAAATGTTCAGATTATATTTGATGATATAAATTTTACTGGGGGAAATTAAGAGATATTAAGACATATTTTTTTAATAGGCTTACTTTCATAAAACTCCCTTTTGGGACATCATACAACCTTCCTATGACTCTATTTATGATATAAATTACGGCATCAGAGAAAAACTGTATTAAATGTGAAAAAGCTAACAGCAAAGACTTTCGTGTTTAGAACTTAAGCTTATCTTTGTAAAAAAACAAACAAACACCGTGCCATTATATTTTCAATTTTGAACACTATGTTTAATTGAATTAATCTAAGAGTTTCGAATTGGTTTAAAAATTGAATCCATACCCCTCTTCCCAAAAGGACTCAGCAAGAAATACATTAACAGCATACATACCTTGTTTTGAAGCTGGTTTGAAGAAATCTGTAATTGACGGACTCCTGAAAATAAAAGCATAACTAATATGGTATCACATAAGCAAACATTAAAACCTCAGTAATTCAGATTAAATGGCAAATAACAGTCAGATTTATAGAACATAGGCTGGATTTCATTATCTGGTTTAAATAATCAAGTTCTGAACAATAATGCTTTGCTAAGTTGATTACAAAAAAACAGAAAATACAATTCACCACTTCCTGTAGGAGTTAATTTATACAAACACAAAACCCCAAAAAGCAAACCCACAGCCGTTGAGTCGATTTCGACTCACAGTGACCCTACAGGATGGAGCAGAACTGCTCCATATGGTTTCCAAGGCCGTAAATCTTTATGGAAGCAGACTGCCCTATCTTTCTCCCATGGAGTGGCTGGTGGTTTGAACCATCGACCTTCTCGTTAGCAGCACAACTGAGGCTTACATAATCTATAACGCTAAAATGATAAGACTGGACTGTGGATCCAGGGAATTGGTAGAATAGTGTTTCTTAAGACTGAAAAGCTCACTGCTAAACGGTAGAATGGAAAATCTTAAGGACAGGGATCTGATCCTATTCCTTGGTACAACACAGTGCTCAATTAGATGTTTGCTGAATGAATAATGGAGATTATAAAAGCTGAGTAACACCTGAACAGACTCTGTGAATGAGTACAACGGTAGATGGACACAAAGTGAGATAGGACCATATTACCAAATTTGTATTTTGATTTGTTCATGTATTTAGTTATTTGTCAGCTGCATATAGGGGATGTTATTATATGCAGAACAAAAAAAAATTATTTTCTGGCAAATTTTTCTAAAATGTATTCATTTTACTGAGAGGATAAGCTATAGACTATAGAGTTCCCTAAACATTTATTCATGTGAGGTTGGGAGGCTCAGAGAAAACTTAACAATCCAAGTCCCTTGAAGATTAAGTTTTTTCTACATCTTGTACACTTTACTGGTTACATTAAAAGAAGAATGCACATCTTTACATAGAATCCACAATGCTTATTTTAGATGCTGGTAGAAAAGCTAAATGGTAAGAAATGAATGAGTGACAAGCTACGGAAGTATCGGTACATTTGTTTACATAAAATACATTATATCTGGCAAATTAACTCCAAGAGTAAAGAACAGGTACTAGAGGTGCTGCAGAGCGGGTGATGAGGCCTTCAGTTATTGGCTGAGGAAAGAGAGGTGAGAAAGAAGAGAGAAGCAGCTAATTAATTCAAAACAAGATAACAGTATGTTTTTACAATAAATACTAATAATATGATACTGTATCTTGTCCTGAAATATCAGATATTAAGCTCCTTTTCAATACATACACCAGAAAGAGAAAAATGGTTTTGGGCAAAACAAGAAATTAGGTAAAATAACCATGAATGTTACTTTCAAGAAGGAATAGTTATGCAAGTTCATATGCCTAGAAATGTCCACTACGTTTTTATAACTATTTTTAAAAAGATAATTATTTACAACAGCTTCACAAACCTTATCTGAAACTTTTAGGGCCAAATGTGTACTAGAATTCTGAATTTATCAGATTTTAGAAAGTAGTTATCTTGGATGAATTCAAGTACACCCAAGTGGGGTGTGGGGCTGCACATTCCCACTTCCCCAGTAAAACTTATGAATATTCACACTTAATAGGATAAAGACCATAACAGCCTTACATTAGTTCTGGTCAGGTTAAGCTGCCAAAAGAGAACTGGTGTCAAACTTATTGAAAACTTGGTTTCACAGCCTTCTGAATTAAGATAATGGATTGTGGACCTATACTACAATATTTTAAACCTAAAATAAAAAAGACGTAACCAAGCGCATATAGAATTTAAACATGTTTTATTGTCAGAGAATGTCATTTGATAAAATTCTCCATCTCATTACGTATCTCTCACAAAGCTGGTTCATGAAATCTTTATAAAAAAATTAGCCTCTGGAGAGGCAGAAAGTTACTGAAAGAGAAACCGTAACACATTCCACACCTGTATGTTCTTTTAAGTATGAATTATTGTGTATACTGGACTATAATGTAATTCGTGGAAGGGTTTTTCTCATAACTTCGTCCACAACATAGAAAAGGTTTATACTATTAAACCACCAGGACCAGTAGAACTGACAATGTCGAGAAAACAACCTAAATATGCATTAAGCAGTTAGGACCCCGGGTCAAACTATCGTAAAGCACAAAAATCATGGTCTACCTAAGGCGGGTTCTCCGTAGCCAGCCAGGCTTGGGATCCCACACCAAGAACAGCTTCCCAACTACAAAAAAAATGAAACTCGTACTCCCAAAAGCCCCTGCGCGGAGGCGGGGTGGGGGTTTGCCAGGCCCCGGAACGCAAGTCCTGAGCTCGCGAAGAATGGCGGGAATTGGGAAAGCGGCCGTCCGCTGTCCTCCCTAATACCCTTGCCCCCGCGACCTGGCCCCTTCTCAAGCCCTCTGCACGGTACCTGTCCCCAGGACTCTCTGTTCTCTTTCCCGCTGCAGCAGGGGCGGTACTACCGGGTCTCAGATGGCAGCGCGGGGGCGACGACCCCGGGGCTGGGGATGAGGGGAAACCTGGCCTAGCGGGCATGCAGCGCCTTGTCATGTCGGTGCCGCTGGCGACGGCGGCATGAGCTGTGGCAGGCGAAGTTGGGTGCGTGGTTGCCGTCTTGCTGCTGGGATTTGGGGAGGCTGGCGGAGCAGAGGTGGACGGCACCCCCTTCTCTCTTCATGGCGGTTCTCTCTCTTCGGAAGTGACTGCTATGTGAGCGGGAAGGAACCTAAGGATCAGGAGGGGCGGGTTTTACTTCAGGAGTCGCGTCCTGATTGGCCGATGCAGCGGCCATTCCGGTAGTGGCGCAATAGAAAGCTCAGCCTCTCAGGAGAAGGCGGAGTTTCGGGAAGGAGGAGGGGAGGAGGAAAACCGCCCCTCCCATCCCGTCACATGTGCGGGGGCGCGTGCCGCCGCGTCCGGGCTGCGTCGGCCTTGCAGGGCGCGCGGGGGCTGCGGTAGCCTACGACACCTGCGGGAGGGAGGGCTAAGGGCAAGGATTGCAGAAGCAAACCCGACTCCGGCGACTGCTCTCGGTTAGGATGGCCAACAGTTGGGCTTCCTGTGGCTCACAATTGTCCCTCAGAAATCCCCAGCTGTTCATTACGTCGCCTGTTTAACATCTTAGGCCAAAGTGCCTCAGTCCGCACAGCCCAATGTGAAGACTTGCCCATTATGTAAGGGTTCTTGTTAAGTGTTTGTGGTAGATCCTTCTCTTTTTTTTTTTAAAGAAGGAAGGAAAAAAATCGTTAAAATAAAGACTGTTTTTATTCCATAAAAACATTTTTGTTTCTCAGCTGCTGAAATGAGTTACCGATAAAATCTCTGCAGTCAGCTTCCATGGAGGTCTATAAAAGGAACATAGGGTCAGCTTTCAATTACCCATGGTAAGTGTGAACAGCATAGATTAGTGACAGCCGCCTGCAATCTCCAATTCGCCTTCCTAAAGGGCTTGTGCTTTGGAGGCTGTTAGCCAAAGAGTTTATCAGATGAGAGACTGGTCAGATTATCTCTGTGCCTCAGTTTCCACATCTATAAAGAGGATATAATACCCACTTTTCTGCATAATTGTAAACCATAAAAGATATGCAATGTAAACTGCACAGTTTAGTCTCACGTAATAGGTACTCAGTACGTTATCTTTCCTTTGGTCTCAAGACAGACTCTTAGGCTGAGTCTAGCTTTCTGTAAATGCTTCCAGAGACAGGTCAAATACTATTATAACGGTTAAAACCAAAATATCACTCTCAAGGATGCCCAACCTCTAATTGATAACCTTGTTCAATCAATTAGGATGGAACAAAATCTTAAATGACTTGGAAGAATTTGAACAGGCCCTTAAATTTTATTGTACTAAGATTTAATTGCTTTGGTTGCTAAGCATGCCTGACTGAACTGAAGTTCACCTCCTTTCCCTTCCTCATTATCCCTCAAACCCACTGCCATCAAGTCAATTCTGACTCATAGTGACCCTATAGGATAGGGTAGAACTGTCCCATAGCGCTTCCAAGCCTGTAAATCTTTACAAGAGAAGACTGCCACATCTTTGTCCTGCGTCGCAGCTGATAGGTTTGAACCACTCACCTTTTGGTTAGCAGCCCAGCACTTAACAACTGCACCACCGGTGCTCCTCTCATTATTCCTCAGGAGGAAGAGTTAATGAGTAGTAAAGTGGCCAACTGAGCCCTAGTGACGCAGTGGTTAAGAGTTCAGCTGCTAACCAAAAGGTCAGCAGTTTCAATCCACCAGCTACTCCTTGGAAAACTTGTGGGGCAGTTCTAGGAAAGTGGCCAACAGGCTGGCAAAGTGGAAGGTGGAAGGTAAACAGTGAATGTACAGGTCTCTCATTCATCCAAAAAGCATTTATCGAGGGCCTCTATGCACATCTATATGCTAGATAGTGGTGGTGCAAGAAAGGAAACAACAAAATAAAGGACACTTTTCTGCAATCGACTGAGAATTTACTATACCTAGCATTGTTCCTTACCTAAAAAAGAATATAAAAGGTGCTCAAAATGCGTCAAATGCATAATGATTTATGCATTGATTTATTAAGGGCTTTTTACGTGTATTATTTCCTATCTTGATTTTGTGCTTTCTTTTGGATGTTTCTACACTAGGAAGTTCCTGCTTCTATAACAGAGCACATCTGCAAAACATTTAATCTGATTTGTTTCATTGCATGCTCAGTCCATATAAAGAGTAATGCATAAGAACAAGTTCTGCATGATCAATTGGTTGCTTTTCTTGGATTATAGTCTTTGAATCATCCAGCCTCCAAGATATCACTTTAGAGTCTATACTTACAATACCAACCAATAGTTTTTACATTTTCTTAATCTAAGCAACAGATTACAGAGTTAAGTGAGGCAAGAAATCCCTTGATCAATAAATGGAGATGGAGTCATAATGAAAACACAATTTAAAAAATCTCTTCTTAACAGGGAAGTAGTTATCTAAATCCTCAATAAGTATCAAGGCTCTTCTTTGTTTGAAATAACAGAGACTTGGGTTCAGGGTTAAATATGCTCAACATACTAACCAGAACTGCTGTGAGCCTCTATGTTCCCCTCACCCCCCGTATAGTGTTGGACAGTCTATTTTGTATATATACCCCTCCTCCCACTTTAAATATGTACATATACACCACAAACATAGACACACGCACATACACACACACATCTGGTTATTGTAAGGATGTTTTTTTACACATAAATTTGTAGTAGGCCAGAAATAGATGGCCAGGAAACTGCACACTAGGTGAAAGATGTTAAAAGGGCCCAGGCGTGCACATGAGCAAAGAGGGTAGAGAAAAACGGGTGAAGTGGCAGAGAGGACAACAAATAAAGTAAACAAAAGAATTAGAGGCTTAAAACGAAACCTCAGCCAGGATTAGAAAAATAGTTTGGAGCAACTAAGGCTGGATAACTATAAAAGGCTAGTTTGGGAAGATTTCTGGGCATGGGAATGGGGAAGCGAAGACCACAGGGATGGAGTGACTTCTATAGATGAAGCTTCTATAGGGTATAGTGCAGCTCAGCTTACCTGCTGAATTGTTAAAGAGAAAAGGAGGAGAGCGAGCTCTGGCCTTAATGGGAAGGGATGGGGCAGCAGAAGAAACAATGTTACGTGAACAGCAGATCAAGTTTGCTGGGAAAGTCCTGCCCAAGGTGGAAGTCCTGAGAGGAGTGGGTGTAATTGATGTTAGAGATCCAGGCAGTCACACAGAGAGAAAACAGTTTGGGCAGATTGGGTCAAGCAGTACCTTAGCACTCAGCAGGCCAGGACAAAGAGAACAAAAGGCTAGTAAGTTAGGAAGAATGTTACAAGAGCAGGGAACTCTAAAAGTAACTTCTCATTATGCAGAAATGACATATTTTTGCTCTGAGATTGCTGAGTTATGGTATAAACTCAAGGCTCTGGTTGGCGGGTACTCTTGGGCAAGCCAAGGGATAAGGACCAATTTGTTGCAGAGTTGCTGGTAGTCAAGAGTGTGTGTGTGGGGGAGGTGGGGGTGGAGGGCGACCTGGGAAGGGGGATAAGGAACAGACTCTGAGAAACAGGAAATAATTAACTCAAAAGCCTGAAACAGAAAGAAAGGGCACGTGATGATTTTTAAAAAAAACAAGAAGGTGTGCTCACAGCATCTCAAGATCCACACAAATCCATTTGCAAATGGATGCCGAACTCAAAACTGACAAGCGCTTGGAAAAGGCACTGGCTTGGTTTAAGGGACTTCTGGGGAAAAGCCAAATGTAATTAGTAAAAATGTGCAAAAGCAGATCTGATGTGAAGAAAAGTAAGTTTCTTGTTATTTCACTATGGAATGGTAGCAAGATAGTGTTTCCCACACTTCAGACACAACGGTAACATCTTTGTGATTTATGACTTATCTGAATATTTCTCATACTATTATTTACTAATTATTTTTCTTTAAATCACTTTTTAAACTTAAATGTATTTATTATCTTAGAAAAAAAACCTTTGTATCATTTCCATAAGTAGAAAATCAGTATCACATCACTTTCCAAAATGAGTAACTGTAAAACTTAATAACTAGTAAAACAGAAATTTATATATATTTCCAAATTTCTCCTGGAGTCATTTGTTTACCAGTGGTGGTAGGCAAAGATACTCCTTATATGTCTAAAGTGTAAGAAATGTTTTAGGAAATATTGGTTTTAGGGACCCCAGCCTGTAATCAGGTGTTTTTCACATGCGGTTAGCAACCCATTAGAGGGTTTTGAAATTGATGTAATGGGTCACAGACCACGTTTAAAAAAAAGAAGAAGAAGAAGAGAGAATGGAATAGAGAATACTGGTGCACTGCAGTGTTGATTTGCAAAACTTTAACTTCATATATTAATATATACACATATATATTTATTTAAACATAGCAGTGATGTAAAAGGTATTTCCTAGTGTGGGTCATGGTCAAGAGCATTTGAAGTTGTTGCTGACATCTGTGTTCATGTTTCATGCTTCTGTGTATTAGCGGGGCCGCCTGTGACACTGAACAGCTGAAGCTGTTTGAGGAAAAAGAGATAGGCTTCCTTAGGCCACTCCAGCTAGTGGGGGAGGCACAACTCCAGCTCTGCTTATATCCTTTTATGGCCATACCCTCCAGGAGTGGGGGAGGCTTGTGGGTGGAGTACTATGAACACCCAGACTGTTTCTCCAGATAAGCAGGCCTTTACCCCTTACATGTTGTAATAACATCTAGGTTGGGAGGAGGGGCTGAGATGGCCCTGTCAGGTCCTGCTCTACCTTCAGTAATCTAGGGATTTAGGGTGAGAAATGGGAGAAAAGAAGGGAGAGTGATGCAAAAGAAGCAGAAGGATTTTATACCCTTTGCCCAACCTGCCTGTTACGGATTAAATTGTAGCCCCCCAAAATATGTGTTGTAATCCTAATCCCTATACCTGTGGATGTAATCCCCTTTGGGAATAAGATTTCCTTTGCTATGCTGATGAGGCCATGTCAGTGTAGAATATGTATTAAGCCAATCGCTTTGAGATATCAAGCAAGCAAGCAAGCAAGCAAGCAAAGAAGCACAGATGGGGGAAGATAGATGCCACGCCACAGGAAGATCACCAAGGAACAGAAGTTGAAAAGAGATAAGGACCTTCCCCCGAAGTTGACAGAGGGAGAAAGCCTTCCCCT